TGTGGGTAGGGCAGAAGGGCAGAATTGCATACAAATGGCTAAAAGGAACAACTGGAGGTTGAACAGCTCAGTTCTCCACATACTCACCTTCCGTAAGAGAATATTAAAAGTCCACAGGCTCTGTCATGATTGGCACTTGCAAGCAGGCTCAGCTGATCTCATGAAGATTGTGGCTGTTTAACTTGAAGAAAACAAGTGTTACATATCTTAGCAGTCAAAATTTGTAATTATTATCCTTTATTGGAAAAACTTTAGACTATTCCTCAGTTTATGTTCACATTTCTGTGTATTGTTTCCATTCAAGTGCCTTCCTAACCTACTACTGTAGAAGATTCTTAAAATACATACATATAAGAAAGAAGTCTAAATGGAATCACTAAATGACAGGGAAGACAGTGCCCCAGCTAGACATCTCTCGCCATCAAGTGAAACCTCTAGTACAAGGAATGGGTTACCTCTAGTTGAGTCATTGGCCAACGGGACCCTATGGGAGCCCCAAACATCTCAGGTTATTGCCAAGGCTGTTGGTTGCTCTGCACAAACTGATGGTAAGACTCTGTTGCTGAAGACGGCACATACATATCTCACTGATCACAGAGAAGTAGAGCTGTTAGCTAACTAGAGCCTTCACTCTTAATGATTTCTTATTCACAGTACTGGAAGGTATTCTGCATAATACCTGAGTAGAAAGGTAGCGATAGCCCAGCTGCAAGCCCTGTGGCCAACAACAGTGACCTAGCTGTAGGGTACGGTGGTGCAGCACAAACACTGTCTGAGTAAACAGCTCTCTGCTTGGATTTAAGGCCCGCTCCGTGAGCTAGAACTCAAAGGCTGACGCTGCTCGGGCGGCCAAGAGCCTGAGGCTGGACAGGTCATGGGCCGAGGGGAAAACAATACTATCGTTCTGCTACAGGAATAAAATGACTCCTAATGGCAGTCCGCCATACCCCTAGAGCAATGCCTCGGGTACCACCAGAGAAGCTTCCACTTAATTATGGTTTTTTGAGATAGGGTTTCTCTGTGTAACCTTGGCTGTCCTGGAACTCAGCTGTGTAGACCAGCTTGTTCTCAAACTCACAGAGATCCACCTGCCTCTGCCTCCCAGAGTGCCGGGATTAAAAGTATGTGGCACCATTGCCTGGCTTTAACTAGTTTTTTGTTTGTTTGTTTTCCACTTTGAAAGATTATAAACAACAGGACACTCTGACAAGTTGTACCATACATTGTTTACACAACAGGTGGGGGAAACATACATTGGAGGCATCTCTTGATAGTATTTCACTATACTGAGAACTAACTAGTCAAATTTCTTCTGGATACTACCTAACGAATTTACAGGGCCTCTTTAATGACCCTATCCAATTCTTCTACCAGGTGCACTGGGCACACTAAGACTAAACTTAGATTAGTGAGGTAGGTATCTTGGTCTAATACAGAAATGCATGTGATAAATGTTAACTAGCTGTGATATGAAGCACTGTTGTTTGAGGTTTAAGGAATGCAAAGTTGAGTAAATTCTATGCCCTTGAATTTGTGATTTAAGTGCTATCAGAAAGGGGAAGCATCTACTTTGGAAATGTTGACAGAGGTATGAGCTACCACCTTTGTAGAGTTGTTTTGAGTACCAGTTATTTTGAGAGGAAAGCCTATAGAGTTAATTGGTCTAAGGATATTTACTCAGATATTGTATTGTTATTGTAAAAATTACTAATAGGCTTAAATATTTACAGATTGTTATATTATTTTTTGATAAGACTGGACTTCAAACCTGCTATGTAGCCAGGGATGACTTTCTGCCTCTACCTCTCAAGTGCTAGGATTATAGATATGTACAACTGTATAGGCAAAATATTTAAAGTTTTAATGGATAAAATAATTTTTAATAAGAAAGTAATTTGATTTTCTTTTTGTGCTTGGTATTTCTTTTTTTTTTAATTTAATTTAATTTTTTTTCTTATCAGTTACATTTTATTAACTCTGCATCCCAGCCGTGTCTCGTTCCCTCATTCCCTCCCAACCCCACCCTCCCTCCCTCATCTCCACCATGCCCGTTTCCAAGTCCACTGATGGGGGGGGGGACCTCCTCCCCATTCATCCTATCCTGTTTTATCAGGTATCTTCAGGACTGGCTGCAAAGCCCTCCTCTGTGGCCTAACAGGACTGCTTCTCCCTTGGGGGATGGGGAGGTCAAAGAGCCAGTCATTGAGTTCCTGTTAGAAATAGTCCTTGTTCCCCTTACTATGGGAAACCAATTGGTTACTGAGCTACCACAGGCTACATCTGAGCAGAGGTTCTAGGTTATATCCATACATGGTCCTTGGTTGAATGACAGTCTCCGAGAAGACCCTGTGCCCAGATATATTTGGTCCTTGTGGAGCTCCTATCCTTTCCCCATCATACTAACTCCCCTTCTTTCATATGATTCCCTGTACTCTGCCGAAGGTTTGGTCATGAGTCTTTGTATCTGCTTTGAAAACACTGCTAGTTAGAGTCTTTCAGATGCGCTCAGTAGACTCCTGTCATACGTTCATTGCACATCCCATCTGTCTTTCTAAATGAGGATTGATCATCTTACCCCATGTCCGCTCTCTTGATTATCTTTTTTAGGTGTATAGATTTCATTATGTTTGTCATATCTTATAGGTCTATATAAGTGAGTATATACCGTGTTTGTCTTTCTCCTTCTGGGATATTTCACTCAGAATCAAAACGACCCTGAGATTTCACCTTACACCCATCAGAATGGCCAAGATGAAAAACTCAAGTGACAACACATGCTGGAGAGGTTGTGGAGAAAGGGGAACCCTCCTCCACTGCTGGTGGGAATGTAAACTGGTACAACCACTCTGGAAATCTATCTGGCGCTTTCTAAGACAATTAGGAATAGTGCTTCCTCAAGACCCAGCTATACCACTGCTAGGTATATACCCAAAGTTTGCTCAAGTACACAAAAGGGATACTTGCTCAACCATGTTTATAGCAGCTTTATTTGTAATAGCCAGAACCTGGAAACAACCCAGATGTCCATCAACGGAAGAATGAGTACAGAAATTGTGGTATTTTTACACAATGGAATACTACTCAGCAATCAAAAAGGAGGAAATCATGAAATTTGAAGGCAAATGGTGGGATCTAGAAAAGATCATTCTGAGTAATTTGATATTTTTAAAAATAACTTCGTGAGCCATGAGTTTCTGGGCTGTCTCCTCCTTATGTTTAATTTTTGTGAGGCTCCTACCAGTTCTTCCTCTTTGAAGGTAGCAGCAGCTAGAGACATCTCTGGGCAGTGAGACTCAGAACTGTGGGAAGGCCCACAGCTACTGCCTGGGAGTGGAATGAGCAGCCTGGCGTCAGAGACTGTCAATACAGCAGCACAATAAGAATTACAGTATATGAGAAAAGGGTCCCAGCTTTTAAGATTTACACTGTCCGTAAAGCTCCCGTATTTCTCTCTAATTGCTGAGGGAGAGTTATGTGGAATGCTTTTGTTTTAGTTTATTTGCTGTTTTGATTAATGTTTTGTGTGTTTTAAAGTGTTTTACTTTTCTGGCATAATAAAATATTTTTATCAATTTTTAAAATGAAGTTGATTGAAGTAGAATGGAAGGGAAAGGGCCAAAAATGTTAATTCCTGGCTGTTTCTGGAGAGTACTGACGGAGTAAGTTTTAGAAGAGATGAAGTGCATTTTATTACAGCTATTACTTTGCTGTTCATACTTTCTTTTTTTAAAATTTATTTATTTTACATATATATGAGTGCTCTATCTGCATGTACACCCGCACACCAAAAGAAGGCATCAGATTCTACTATAGATGGTTGTGGGTTCTGGGAATCGAACTCAGGGCCTCTGGAAGAACAGACAGTGTTCTTAACCCCTGAGCCATCTCTCCAGCCTGCTGTTTATACTTTCAATGCACTTATTTAAAATGTAAACATCTTAGAAATTTGGTTTTCCAGGTCGTGTTTATATTTTGCTAGAAAATTAATTTTGCTTTAATTAAAAGCGTAAAGCTTTTAAATTTTAAATTGCATTTATTGCATGTGTGTGCCGGGGAGGGCATGGATGCTGTGGCAAACTTGTAGTGGTATGGAGGTTAGAAAACAGCCCATGGGAGACAGTTCTCTCTTTCTACCATGTAGGTCTTGGCACTCAGACTGAGGTCAGTGCCCTCGCAGGCCAGGCCGTCTCACCAGCCCAGGGGAGGGGAAAGGACAAAACTTGATCCTTTCTGTGTTGGTTAATTTTCTGTCAGCTTGACGTAAGCATGGGTTATCTGGAGAAAAGGAAGCTCAACTAAGAAAATCCATGAAGACTGGCCTGTAGGCAAGTCTGTGAGACATTTATTTTTGATTAATGACCTATGTGAGAGGGCCTAGCTTACTGTCATTGGTGCTATCCTTGGTTTGTCCTGACTTTCCCATCACGTCATGGCATGCCTCTCTTACCCTGAGAAATAAATGTAAAATTAAAAAAAAAAAATCAAGCTGAACAAGCCATGGAGAACAAGCCAGTAGGCAGCAATCTTCCATGGCCTCTGCTTCACTTATCTCATTGATAAAGGTGTGACCTGAAAGTTGTGAGCTTTCAAATAAATTCCTTCTTCCCCAAGTTGGGTTTGGTGACTGTTTTATCACAGCAGCAGAAAGCCCTGGCTAGTCTGGAACTTGCTACGTAGACCAGGCTGACTTCAAACTCATACATATCTGCCTCTGTAGTGCTGGGATTTAAGGCAAACCAAACTTGGGTCCTCTGCAAGAGCAGTAAATGCTTTAAACCTCTGAGCCATCTCTCCAGCTTCTGATTTATTTATTGTGTATGTTTTTCATATGTATACATGTATGCCACTGTACCTGTGTGGGAGTCAGAGGACAACTTTTGGGAGTTGGCTCTCCTTCCATGTGAGTCCCAGGATTTAGCTCAGGTGACTAGGTTTGGTGATAAGTATCCTTTAGCCATCTTACTAGCCATGTATAGAAATTTCTCTTGTTTGAATTCTAGGAAGATTCTGGGACCATCTCTTGGATTTCTAAGGATCAGAATTTGCTCAGCGCCCTCAACCAGCTTGGTTTCAGTTGTCATTTAAGCTTATTTGGCTGTTCGCTGTCCTCTGAACTTGTCCAGTACCATCTGTGGCTGATACAGCAGGATTCGGAGTAACAGGTAAGTTGCATGATGTTGCTCCTTTAGTCAGAATCTGCTCCCTTCTTGCTTTGTGGTTACCCCATGAACTGCTATCACCGCAGGCGACTTCTGCTGTTTTCCAGCCTGCTATGGGGCTCCTTCCTTAGGGCTTTTGCACATGCTTTGCCTTCTACTGGAATGTTCTCCTTGTAGAGGTGAGTGTGATTGGATCCCTCGCTGTCTTGGGGTCTTTTCCAGAAATCATCTTAGGATGACTTAAATTGCACCCTTTTCCAATATTTCATGTTATTTATTTATCCTGTGTATTATTTTTCTCCCTTGCTAGACTACATGTTTCTATAAAGTTTTTTTTTTTAATTTTTTTTTATTTTTTTATTGTTTCTTGGTCTCCAGTCTAGGAGATGGTCTAATAATACTCAGGGAAATTTTGTTCGAAGTTTTTATTTTTTTAAATAGCATGAAAAATATACAAAAATTTATTTTGATGAGATATTGTCTTAGATTGCCATAAAACACACGACCAAGAACAACTTGGGGAGGGGTGGGTTTATTTGGCTGACAGGTTATAGTCTATCGTTGAGGGAAGCCAAGGTAGACACTAAAGGCAGGACCTTGAAACAGAAACCTTTGAGGAATATCACTTCCTGGTTTGCCTTCTCTGGCCTTTTGAGCTACCTTTCTTACAAATCTGTCTAGAGAGAGCATTGCTGGTGGTGAACCTTCTTGTCTCAGTTAGCGATTAAGAAAATGTATCATAGACACAGGCCAGTTTGGTGAAAATAATTTCTGTTAAGATTTTCTTTTCCCAGCTATGTCTAGGTTTGTGTCAAGTTAACAAAAATTAACACACACAAGTATCATGTATAGCCAGAAAACATCAGGTGCTTTGATCTAAAGGGGATATGTACTTCTAGGAATTTGTCACAAAATGAGGGGTTTAAGGAACAACAGAAAAATATATCTATAAGCCAGGACCCCCAAAACCTGTGGAAACCCATGCTGCGGGAACCCTGACAAGTAGGAACTTGTGCTTTTGCTAGTGCTGCACCCGGAACCTGATGGGAGCCCTGCTGATGGGTTAGAAATGTAGATTTCAGGCCTGGTGCTTCACGGAGAGAGTTGGAAGTGTGGTGTGAGGCCGTATACCAATATGTATCATGGAGCTAAATGAAGTGGCCCTCATAGACTCCTAGGGAGTGTCATCACTGGAGGTGTGGCGCTGTTGGAGTGGGTGTGGCCTTGGTGGAGAAGTTGGCTTTGAGCTCAAGCCAGGCCTAGTGGCTCACTCTATCTTTCTACTGCCTGTGGATCCAGATATAGAACTCGTAACTACCTCTCCAGCACCATGTCTGCCTGCATGCCACCATGCTTCCCACCATGACAGTGATGGACTAAACCTCTGAACCATAAGCCATCCCCAATTAAGTGTTTTCCTTTATAACAGTTGCTGTGATTCTATACTGGAAGTGAAAAGGGTGGTGAGGGTGGGGAATGGAGTAAAAAGGCAAGCCAGATCCTATAAAGATGATAAAGCTGTACCTCTACTTTCTTTGGGCTCAAGGATTTGCTTGAAGATAAAAAATGTGACCTGTTTCTTATTAAAGTAAAATTGTGCTTCCCCTTTCCTCCACCCCCCTCCCCAAAACAGACTTTCCGTGGTCGTGGTGTCTCTTCATAGCAATAGAAACCTTAAGATGGTATCATAGTAGAGAATATTTAATTTGATATTTAGAAAAAAGCCTTAAATATAGGACAGATTTAAGCTGAGTAGTGTGGACTGTAACAGCAAAGACTAGCACAGGGTCATATCCTAGACTGTGTCTGCAACGTAAGCAAGCTGAGGAGTGATCTTAGCTTAGCCGGGTCACATCTGCATGTTGGCCAAGCTGAGGAGTGATCTTAGCTTAGCCCGGACACATCTGCATGCTGACCACAAAGCTCAGCTAAGCCTCTAGAAATGGCATTCAACAGGAACACGTCTTCAGTGTGGTTAGGATCTCTTAGTGTGATTAAGTGCTCATTTCCTTGAGTTCCATAAATCTGTGTTTAGAGCCAATGGTGTCCCAGATTACATGTTACCTCAAGTATCAAACCAGCATCTTTTCAAGCTTTGCTAGGGGCCCTTCTGTTATAAGCCTAGGATGCTCCAGGGCTGTGTGGTGGTTCCTGTTTAATGTCCCCCATCTCCCCATTGCCAGCTCTTCACTACTCAAGGACTTACTGCCAAGACTGAGTTCTCTTCCATCTTTTCCTTTTTACTTTATGACTAAAGACACTAAAATCTAAACATACATGATTGTTAGCCACATTTATGTCTCATGCTCATTATAATTTATGGCATGAATCTGATTACTAACTAGTTTTAAAAATCAGTCATGGCAACCTACTTTCTACTTCTTTTATTATGAAATGAAATCTATCCTTTTAAATGTACAGTTCAGTGAAATTAAATACATCTACTTTGTTTTGTAAAACTGAAAAGCCATACATACCCATTAAATAGTAAACTCGTTCTTCCTGTCTAGCTCTAGGCAAATCACCTTTCTGTCTTTAATTTCTCTGAAATTGACTAAGTTTGATGCTCATATAAATATTTGCCAAGTCATAGGTTATTTATGTGTAATTGACTTATTTCGTTTAACCTACATAGTGTCCTCAAAGTTTATCCATGCTATAACTTTGATGTTTAACACACGTGTGTCAAAGATTTCTTTCCTTTATAAGGCTGAATAAAAAACTTTTATGGTCTGTATTTTATTTAGCTAATCCATTTTAGATTACAATATTTTCTTTTTTAAATAGAAGTAGAAAATAGTAGAGTGTTTCTGTGTCCTTTGCCCTTTCCTGCTTCTTTAGAACAGTTAAGAATGGCCCATAGAATCTGTTTCTTAGGTATTTGAGGTGTGTTATTGATAGATCAAGAAGCCTTCTTCGCTAGCCTCACTTAAAAAAGATTGCTTGAGCTTGTGAGTTAGAGGCCAACCTGGGCAATGGTCAGACCCCATTATAGAACAAAGATAGGAGAGCTCGGTGGCGGGGCAGAGAGGTAGTCTGTGTGGGTGATCACATTTATAGGGTTAGGGTTCTGCCTTGACTTACTTTCCTGAAATGCAGGGTCTTTCTTCTTTTCTTAGAGACCAGAAATCTAAGGGATTTTGATATTTAAAAGCATCTTTAAAATGGGCACAGTGGTGCTTCCTTATAACAACAGAATTCTGGAGACTGTGCAGAAGGATTGCAAGTTGGAGGTTAGCTTGATGTATAAAGCAAGGCATTATATCAATAAAATAAAACAATATCTTCAGTGAGTAATATTAAATAGCTAGATAATTTATCGTCAAGTACCAGCTTAAATCATTTGTTAGGTTGGTTTTAATTTCTTTCCTTGTGCTACTTCTTGTCTGGATCCATTTTACTATCTTCATAGATTTATTTATAAGGATATAATGGTTTCTTAAACCTGTAGCTGGCAGCTATCCCCTGATTTTATAATAGGAATTTAAAAATCACTTAAGCCAAAACAAAGTAAAAATAAACTTGTATTAATTTGTTTATAGATCACATTATTTCCATAGCAAAACAGCAACCAGCTAGACCAAAACAAAACAAAACAACCCTCAAACACCCATAATAGTATTTTTAAAGATTATTACTATTGTGTGTATGAAAACCTGTGTGACATGCATTTGTGTGAGCAAGGGCACATGCACAGCAGTGTGCATCTGGAGGTCAGAGGCCATTTGGGAGTTGATTCTCCTCTTCCCTAGTAGGCCACAGGGATCTAACTCTGCTTGTCAGGCCTGTGCAGCAAATACTTTAAAACCACCAAGCCATCTCACCTGTTAAATCTGTTACATTATTTATATTATTTTTGGTTCTTTGTTCATTGTCTCATCTAGTAAATGAGGGCTTAATTTTTACCTTTTAATCTCTGACAGTCATAACATTACTTTATATTGTAGAAAGGGTATCCTCTATACTGTAGAAAGCACAGTATACAGACTGGAGAGGAGGGCTTTCTTTGTGGACTGCTACCTTCTGCTGTATTTGCATGTGGTCTTCTGTAATGCCTTCCCGAATTTGAAGTACCAGTCTGAGCTAAAGTGTTTTAAAATACTGGGAGAAATGATCTAAAGTTAAATAAAAGTAACTTATCCTTTTGCATTTTATTCCTCCATTGAAGTTGCTCTGTTGTTGAAGTGGTTATAGGAGATTCTTGTAGGAAGGTGCTGAGGTAGAACTCTGTGACTCACAGTGGTTGAGAGGGTAAGTCTTATCTCACTGTGTCCTCAGATGTTCCCCAGAAGGCTGGATGTCTTATGAAGACTTCTTCAGGAATTGTTATTACAAAACTGAGGTATAGGTTGGAAATGTGTTCACTCTTCCTTGCTCTCCTTTTCCACCTTTGATTCATTTTTTTAAAGATGTAATTATTTATTTTATGCATATGAACACTGTTTTCATGCACACCAGAAGTAGAAATCAGATTCCATTGCAGGTGGTTGTGGGCCACCATGTGGTTGCTGGGACTTGAACTCAGGACCTCTGAAAGAGCAGTCAGTGCTCTTACCCGCTGAGCCATCTCTCCAGCCCCTTTGATTCATTCTTTCTATCTGCCATTCATTGTACAAATATTCATTGTTCCTGTATACTACCCCAAAGAGACAAAAGGTTATATTGCAGGAATGTAGGAAAGTAACAAATACAAGGAAATAAATGAAATCTGGTTATTGTGATAAGTGCTAGACAGCAAATCTAAGAGATATGGTAGAAACAGGATGGAGATGTTTGTACTTAATATAGTCCAGGAAACTTTCCTGGACTAGTGACTTTTAGACTAAGATGTGAAGGGCAAGAAGAAGCTCTGTGAAGAGCTCTCAGGGTGAGGAACTGGTTCTTGCAAAAAGCCCTGAGGTTGGAGGCTAGTGAATTAGATGCTCTGCTACTCAGGGTTCTCTAGAGAAACAGAAACAGTAGGATGAGTATGTCTTATAAAGAGAGTTTGTTTACCACTCTAG